AGCGTGCGGGTGCGCGATCTCTGGTGAGGATTGGCTGAAGAAAAAGGTGATATTTTCGAGGGTGTGAAGGTTGCAGGGCATGCGGCATGAGTCACAAGTGCATGCAGCTTGGGGTGTTTGATGTCTGCGCCCTCCCTCCTAATCATCTAAGCAGCTGGGTCTCCACAGTCTCCACACCCTGCCACGCACCGCCCGGTCAACTGTTCACTGTTTGTGCCGCCCGCGCCACGTGGCCCGCTTGTCCGGCTTCGCGGACTGGGCCACACCCTTCGAATCCAACAGCGACTTGGGAGCGCAGCTGCGCCAAACATGAAGACTCCGCGGAACCACCCGACCTTCAAACCCGCCACGTGCCGCCGAAAAAGGCTCCGAACCGGAAGACCTGTGGCGACCCACAGAGGCCCCCCGGTGCGGCCGCGCGGCGCGCGCGCGCGCGCGCCTCTCGCGACGCGTCGCGGCGTTTTCGGGGCCTTAAAGGGACGGAGCAAAAAGCCGCGTGCGGGCCTTGCTGGGCGAAGGCTGAGCCAAAACCGGGCGGCGAGGTGAAGAGAAGTGGAGTTGACGCTAAGCCAAAAAAGGGGACGGTGTCATTCATAGCGGATCCAGGATTTTGGATGGATTCAGCAGTAGCAAAAAGAATTAAAAAAAAGAAAAGGGATGCTCCGCCGACGGGCTGTGGGCCCAATGTGTCTGTGACTTCTTTGACAGCACTGGGCCAGTCTTCAGGTGGGGTGAGCCACTGAGCCTTCGAAGTGTGAGCGGTTGTGAGAGCTGCCCATGTTTTCCATACTTGAAATGCGCCCGAACTACATACACGAAGCAATGTGAGTGTTGTCCTAAAACTCCGACCCTGAACTCAAAGAGTTCAAACATCTTCAAAGCCTTGAGGCCCCAATATAAATACATACCAACAGAGGTTGAAGGACCCGAACTAGCCTATTCGATCCCATAGGTACCCCAGTAAGGTCCTAGTTCAGGTCACTTAACCTCTCTTGGATAGGCCCAAACAAGATCAGAACATCCCAATCAACCTGAAGCGCCGCCGGAGCGTTCCCTCCGATCTTGGTCGCCGCACCGGTCGGCCACGATGCCCGCGAGGCCCGCCAACAGCAAGGCCCCGGAGAGCAGCTTCCACGCCTGGGACGGATCCAGGCGGTGCCCCAGAGATGCGGCAGATGAAGGAAGTGATGAAGGAAGAGGGCAGCCATGCGTTTTTGAAGAGCTGAAGAGGAACGACTTGATGAAGAATGAGTTGAGTGTAAATCCTGTGTGGAACGGAAAACTGAAGAAGAAAGTACGTGGTGAGGTTGAGGTTTCAGCGCCTCACGATGCTCTGCCTTTGGGGAAGAAAAGCGGGCTACAGTGCTGTCAGAGTCGAGGGCATTATGCCCCGAGAGAATGTTCTAGGTAAGGTTCAGGGGATTTGGCAGAATCCCATCTAATTTACAGTACTCAGTATATATTATATATATATTACAAACACGGTAGGGTTGCGCCATCTACTCAGGAATCACTGTCAAATCATGCAAGATCTGTAAACTGTAAACTGGTGTTGATCTTCCTGGGAGGTGGGCCTGCGCTCTAGCCTATGAATGTCACCCTCCATCCTCCACACCAGCCATGGAACATGCGGGTTTGTCAAAGACTTCGAGAGCAAATCATAGCCCATACGTGGCATGTCAGCATGTCCACAAAACCGATAGGCGCCTACAGGCTGTAGCAACCAGTCTATGCACACCCTCGGTACCCCCCCCAGGCAAACTAACACGGAACCTGAGAATTGACCCGTGGTGAAAGACCAGGAAGACCATATTCCTCGGTTGAATGGGGTTCCATGTGGTGCCCGTTAAGGATGGGTATATAGATCTTCAAGCACCAGTCCGGGGAATGTCCCAGTTTCTTGATGCAAAAGATCGGATGATTCCGCGATGAGAGCCACGTCTTAACGAAGACCTTCAAATCAAAGAAGACCTCCCGCCCGTCGGCATGATCCGAAAAAGAGTGCAGTTTAACATCCGCCGACGTCTCTTGGATCACTTGGGGGATGCGAACGGCTTGGGGGATCGCCTGGTTCAGGTGGTTCTTCACACGTCTTCAGCTGACGTCTTCAGCCGCCATGGCCCTGAGGTGAAACACCCACCCCTCCCACAGTGTGTCAAGGTCCACCCACCTTCAAGGTCCAAGGTCCTGTCAGATCCGAAAGGTTCAGCATCGGTTTGCATCGCGATATGACGACGCCCAAGCTCGAGCTTTCAATCCGTTCGCTTCGCAACGACTCAAGAGGGGATGCGGTGTCTCCATCGGTCGGAACGGATCGCACCCAGATAGAAACAGCGCGATGATTCCATCGACCGAAACGACCCGGTTCGTTGATGACTTGGGCAACCCGCCATGACTCCTGGTGACTCATGAACTAGCTTGGGCAGGCAAGGAGCGTCATGAATATGCCTTACGTCCATACCAATTCAGAGGGCCAAGTCCACACAGGACAAGGACCGGCAAGGAGACAAGCCAAAAAAATGAACCATCGGAGGTGTCCTGCGTGACCCTTGGGCTCATGGCAACCGCCACCGCACGCAGGCAAAGGAGGGCGGAGATGCTCATTACTTGGGGGTTTGGGCCCGCAAAACAAAGAGTGAGTCGGTGGACTGCCAAGCACTAGGAGACCCAACCGAATGATCCGAATGGCTCTAGCCTGAAAAAGCAATCTTATGGACATTCCTTATCAGATGTAGGTAGGGCCCCCCAAAAGAAGAACGAGTTGCTTTCAACCAACGACGGCTCTCAATCGAAAGGACCTCGACTGCTCTCATCACGGGCTTCTCGAGGTCCACCACATTACGACAACGCTCCCCTTGTGGTTTTTCCAAGGTCCAGCCATTCTATCCCTAACACTCCATGGGATATGTGCTTCTCCTCTTGCTTGACCTGGGGTCGTAGGCATACCAGCCCCATGTCTTCGTGTCGCGCTCTGAAAACGGAGGTCGTTTCAAAAGCCGCCCCGGTCCTGAGCGTTCCTCCAAGATTGGCGAAGTCTCATGATCCGTGAGCAAATTCTCCTCGCTCTTCGCGTGGGCTCGGCACATGGGGGTCCACTCAAGAACTTGGCTCTAGGGGGCATTGTTAAACAAGAGCACCAAACATGGGGAGAAGGCCCTTAAGCCTGCACACAACGACTGCACGCTGGAGGAGCGCCAGGAAGATGATGAATGTTAACAGGTTGAGCTTGAACCCTCGAACACGCCGCTACTGGCATCTGTTTCCCGAGCTTTACAGCACCACCCTATCTCCGTGGTCCTGGTTTGGTTTATATTTATTTGGTGTTCGTGACGAAACCACTTCCTGAAACCACTGTTGATTAGTAACGTATCCCTAGGGCTCCAGTCGTACCTTCTGAGAAGGAGGGTCCAAATACCTTCTGAGGATGTACTTGGAGCCCTAGGGTCATACATGTTCTACATGTAAAAATCATTCAAAACCCTGCAAAATGTCTTGCACGGGGGCTGAGGGGTATTCTTCATACGCATCCAGCGCAGGGCGATGTTGCGACACACTGACCGAGCCGGCTCGACTGGGCGCTTCTTCTCGGCTCTCCTGCTCCAATGGAAGCTGTAGGAAAGAAGCTTCTTCCACCGGCTCCATCTCTGATAGATGCCAACAAGGATGAAAGAAAGAACATCATAAACTTCATCTGCTAGATCTGCCACATCTGATAGATGCCAACTGGTCCTCTTAAGCTTGGAGTTCTTAGTCAAATCATCAAAAATCTCTATACTGTGTCATGTTGAATGGCCGAGCTCTCCGTGGTGTTCTTGGTTTCACTTTGTGTCGTGCTTTCAAGAGTTTGCCGACTCAGCTAATCTCCGACTCAGCTCCACAGGACTGATCTGCTATCTCACGTCATGCCTGACATGCCACCTCCTGATCTGGGAACCTCTACCAGGCAGGTTACAAGTGAAGGGATACAGAATGCATCAGTATGTGTATGATATATATATATATGTGTGTGTGTGTGTATGTATCTATCTATCTAATCATATGTAGTATATGGTACTGAACCATGTTCAACTCCAATCGCTCAACTCCGCCCGCATTGGCCATGGATCCTCGAGGCGACCAGGTGGGTTTGTGGAGCCAAGAGCACGTGGTTTTGCGTGGTTTTTGGGCGCGGGACACCTGCAAGGCGAAGACCCAAAGGAGGATGTCTGCGCTGCGGTAGATGGTAGTCTGGCCGGGTACAGGGTTTAGTACCATATACCGCACTTGGTTCTACACAACCAGGCGTATCCCCTCTGTTTATCAATCAATTCAAGGGTAAAAGGCCCTCTGTGGCCCCACGTGCGCAACCCGATAGCACTTCAGGCCATCGGAATCGACGTTCAGCAGTCAAGCACTGGAATGAGTCAACCTTAGAAGATCTGACTTGCAAGCTGTTCCAAGAGCCAGTTGTCACACCCCCAAACAAGACTAATCAGTTGGGCCGTGCTAGACTCACATCCATTCCATCTTCTTGGAGAAAACAAGGATATTCTCAGGTGACGTGCACATCTCCTCAAAATGCTTGAAATGGAGACACACGCCCTGTGCATCTCTTTGCCACTCGGGTGGTTGAACAGGGTCCATGGGCACAGATTCCATGGCACACAATGGAGCGTCTGGGAAGAGACAGAGTCGCCTTGCGTAAACCAAATCATGACTCGCCATAGCTTGGGATAGAAAAGGCCCGTGTCACCCTTGATGTAGACTCTTGATTAATAACTGGATTCATGAAAACCTCTTCAGACTTGAGGGAGGGGGGTGAGTAATCCAACGTAGCTATATTACTATATTTTAAAAACAATATATAAGGAAATATTATATACATATATTACACATCTATACATGTAACGGAAATACAAAACGTTCCTTATTTACTCCCGGTGGTGTTTATTTGAGTTGTGTCTTGTGAGGCGTTCAACAGCTCAACCACGCTCCAGCCCCTCCGGTGATCCCGGGCGCACCAGCTGCCGCCGCAGGGCCTCCGACTCCTCCGACTCCACCGGCGCTGCCGGAGCCTGCGGCGAGGAGGGCAGCGGGGTGGATGGCATTGGAGAGAAAACCCATGGGATGTCGATGTTGGATGAATACCACTTACAACATAATACAAAAGCCTTGTGATGAAGTGGCTTTGTCAATCCAAAGGGCGGGGCGATCCTCAGTCTACATTGGCGGTTCTTTGAGTCTTTGAGGTGCAATCTGGGTGGTGGAGGCTTCGTGCGAGTAGAAAAATGTATGTGATTGCAGCACACATGTATATATATATATAATGTTCTTGCCAGTGATGGTTTGAGGGATGCTCATGAGCACCACGTGCTTCATCTCGAAGTTCCCTAATTACTAGTTCATCTCATCTCCTAAGCATAGTAGATCATAGTAGTTGGATGTAAGATGCTACAGTACAAGCGAATCGGTGATAGACCCTTGTAAGTATCCGGCGCCGCCAGGTCTGCCCACATCCCAACAGCACCTGAGGTAAGAGAGCCGTCCACCCCCCCCAAGCTGCTAAGAGTTCCACCCCAACTGGGAAGGGATCAGCACTGGGAGAAAAGTCCCTTTCTTCGACGCGGCGGGCAGGCCGGGCAGTTCGGAGATTCCTGCAACTCAGGGTCACCTATTCAGATCCTTTGGTGAAAGAGCCTTGGACTCCCCCAATTTTTCAGGCCTGGCCATTTTGGTTCGGGGACCTGTCACAGAGGATCGGCCTGAACGAACGAAGGGTCTGAGGAAGCGAAAGACCGGCCTGGAACAGCTCGGGAACCGGTACAACCTGGGATCGGACGTGCATGGCATGCCGTGAATCATGCATAATCATCCAAGGTGCAGGGTGAGCTGCAGGAAGAACGGCCTGTAACAAGAGTCCTAGCCTATGCTACCATCCAAGCTCCCCCTTTTGCTATGCTACAGGGTCCACATGCAACGAGTGATTGTGGATGATTAGGGGCGACGGTCTTTGCCACTGAAGCCGCTGAAGTAGGTGTCCTCTTCGAAGGCTTGCGACCGGTTTCGAGTGCTGCAACCTCATTTTGGGGAAGGGCAGATGGGCAAATCAACACAACCAGTCACTTTGGCCAACTTGCTGCTGTTGGGCCATTTCCCTCGCCCAACCGAAGGATCAGGACCTCATGACTCTGAGGCTGAGGCTTTTTGCTTTTCGGCCTCCAGGGCAGCCAAGGCCTCTTGCAGCTCTTGCTGACGACCAGCCAGCTCCTGATGACTGCATCTGGCTTTGGGACACCGACTAGTCCCGTCCCACTTCTGATCGGTAAAACTCACCATGATAATAATCATCGATGGATTATATCAACATAGTTGGGTACACATACAGAACCCCCTGCCATGCTGGAACAATCAACCACCCCAGTCTGACTGACCCAGTACGCGATCTCGCAAACACAGGCCCTCTACTATCTGCACATGCGCAGCCCATCTCTCATCGGCTGGAAAAATGACGACAGGCCGCTAGGATCCACTGGCTTGATCATGCTTGTTGTGGACGATCTCCTCCACCAGAGATCCACCCAACAAGCTTCGGCACGCCCCTGCCATTCCCCTGCAACCATCCTGCAACCCCTTCCCCTCGCTTCCTGCTGGAGCTTGGTCACTTGGAGGTTCAGCTCCGAGACTTGTGCCTTGGCCTGGCGCGCGGCGCGACCGGTGGCGCCACGGTGGTGCGTCCGGCGCTTGTGAGGCTGAGAGCCGGTCGCCCCTAGCCTCTTGGGGGAAGAAGGGGGTAGGTGTGGGGGAGGTCGGTGCTTCTTGGAGAGCCAGGCCATGTGAACAAACAAGAGCAAAGCAAACGAACTGTGAAAGGGATTTGCCAATCAGCCAGGGTGCCAGGGTGCATGAGAATCTGAGAAGCCCCTGTAGGCACCACTTGTTGAGATGCTGGCAGGGACTCAACTTGCCTACGCGACGTTGTCCTTTCACCGCCAACGAAGCTCCAACATGGGCATATACAGTACATTATTAGGAGTCGCTTGTGTTATCACCAGGTTTCCTAGGCACCAGGTTCCCTAGGTCCCCACCACAACCTAAAGTCACCAGGGACCCAACCTCACCAACAGCAAATACACCATCAAACCAGGCCTCCTTAGTGTTTATTAGGGTTTAGTGGCTTTGGTCTGGCAATCTGGAAACCTGCTGCGAAGGTAGAATACTACAGGCTGAGGCCCACCTGAGACTGAGGGTTTGTGTTGCTTGGAAGGTGGAGGTGCTTGGCCGCCTATACTGTAGTATAGTTTTATTAAGTTGCCAAGGGGCCAACCTCATGAACAACTGTCTGAGTGCCACCCCCTGGCACATAAATAAAGTTCAGACCCAACCCTGAAGCCTGGAAGTCAGGGTATGTTACCAAGCCCTCGAATTGAAAAAGTTCATAGATTCTTATGGAGAAAGTTGCCTCTAGCTCGGCAATTTTACTATATCGGTCGCAAGGGCTATTATTAGGATCCATTGGAGGCCCCAAGGCTTTCACCCACCAGGCAGTCGTCAGCAGACGGGGGAAGTCTCCTTCGGGATTGGGAGGCTCTCCACTTGAGGAGGAGGAGGAGGTTGGCATAGGTTTTTGGAGTATGGGGCATGTTGATCATTGAATAGATCAGGTCAACACCGACGGAAGATGTCTGTAGATTGTGGACCCTCCAAATCCAAATATTGCGAAGAACGGTGTAACGTCGTGAAACCGTGCATCAAAACCTGCACATCTAGTTGTTGCCCACAGCAGGGCGGATGACAAAGCCTTTGCCCCTTCGCAGTCGGAAGGCTCGGTCAGCCAACCGTGAACAGCACCCATATCCGACTCAATCAGCACCTGCCCTAAAGTCAGCTGCTATTTGGTCATGAATCTTGTGATCTCGGTTTGGAGCGATCTCTGTTGGACATCCCTCGCGCACGTCGCACCTCAGGGAAACGCACACAAGGCAACCGTCTTTGATGTGATGCCGCGCGAAGGTACTTCAGTGCTAGCTAGTGAGCCCGGTTAACATGTGAAAGAACATGCCCCCATAGTCTACCCCTTGACCAAAAATGACAACCCTTCCCAGGATTCTTGCAATCTGGGGTTAACCTGGTCGCAGCGGTGGCGGGGATCCCTTCTTTTTCTTCACTCGAGCAGTGGATTGCAGCCGGCTCAAACAACCTAAGCTCGCCAGATCACCAAAAGAAGGCGCACATGGGGCAAATTGGGAGGAGTTGCCCGGAAACATCCTTTCGTACGTCCGAAGGTATTTGGACCATCTAGACCCACGCCAGTCCCACCTTCGAATGTACGACTGGAGCCCAAACAGGTTGTTGTAAGATTTGCGACAAAACACAAAATACATGTAAGATGTGCACAGTAATTACTGCGCACTCAAAGTCAACAAGTCCCTTTCATCACGTTCATCTAGGAGAGCTCGGTACTCTGACTTGCAAAGTCTTCATGATTTTCTAGATTCTAGTTGGTCCGTGATTGTTCGTTTGTTAATGCACATTCAATTTGACTTCGCTGTGCTGTTTAGTTGATTTAGCACACATCCTCCCCCTGCAGGCAGCTCTTGAAAAAGAATTCCCCTCAATTCCCCTGAAGAGAATCATGCAAAAGCCTCTCCTCTACACAGCTCAGCTCAGGGAGGAGAGGAGGAGACTTCGGCCGCAGCGGAGAGCACAGCGAAGAGAAAACCACCACATGATGTCATACACACTTTTTCAAAAAGAGCCCCCTACCAAGAATGTGAAGTCAAGGTCTGAATTTAAGAAACGATAATTGTACCTCAAAAAGGAAACGATCGAGAAACCATCTATGCCTCGAACCCGCGCCAGGACACCACGGTCGCCTCCACCTCCTTCACCTCCGGCCCGCCCACGTCCGCACACCCGCCGCGCGCCGTCTCGTCGGACGCGAAGGCCCTCCGCAGCGCCGCGGCGCTGCGCCGGAAGCCACGCCGCTCCTGGAGCGGCACGGGCGAAGCCAGGTCACCCAGCTGTGGAGCTCTCTGGTCACCGGCTGCGGACCAAACCCGCGAGGAGTTCGGATCCTTGTTTTGCTCCGCGGAGTTCGGACCCAAACAGTTGCCAAAGAACACCTAAGAGGAAGGACATTTGCAGGGGCCAGTGCGGTCCAGTTTGAAGGCCTTTTTTCGGCTCTTTCAATCAATGCAGGTGGACACGTGTGGGTCGACACGTGTCTTCTCCAAGTTCTTCAGTTTGGCGCGCGCTAACGACCAAACCCTTGGTGCCCTTGAGGTCGATCTGCTGGTCATGGTGCTTCCTACCCCAACGCTCAAAACCTGGGGTCTCAACTCCCTGTTCGGTGCGTTTCGCAGCACTTCCCCACCATCTTCCCCCGCTAAGTCGATGAAACTGCTCCGAGCATCCGCGAAGTCGGCGTCGCAAAGTTCAAAGAAGTTGTGATGAAAGAGGCAGGTCTGACCTGGATTGCCCGCCATCCGAAAAAGAACAATGCATGCCATGCGAATGATCACGTGGACGTGGCATCCATCGATCTCGATGGATGGCATGCACCCCAAACTGTGGAGGACAATCCTAAATTAAAGTTGGGATGGAAATAGTGAAGAACTCTTCTTCGACATATCCCGCATCATCCCACCTACCAGGTGGTGGCTACGGGCTTCGACTCAATCATCCCAACATCTTCTCGACCTTTTGCATTGGTCCATGCATGGCCGTGCCGCCATGCCCTCCGCAAGCGTGCAGCCGCCAGCCACCGGCTCTTCGAAAGAAGTTATCTGCTAAATGCTACACCTCCTCGACCTTCTCCAACCTTCAATATACGCCTGATTTCAGGTCAACCATTTTTGAGGAGCCTTGACAGTTGGAGCCTTGACAGTTGGAGCCGATGCTGGATGATTCTGGAGAATGGGTCGACTCCTCCGAGCTTCCATCCATCTCTGAGCTTCCAGACGGATGGTCTTCCTCCTTGCTTCCAGGGACCAGGTGCAGCCGCCCTGCGCTGCCGTTCGGCTGGGCCGTTGGCCAGCACTGCAACGGCCACCCGAGGGAACGCCGAGCCAGAAGCCCACAGGGCTGGAAGTGGAGCACCTGAAGTGGGCTGCGTCTTCTTGAGGTGGCTAGGTGGCTCAGTTTTTCAAGCACCGGTCGAAAGAAAATGGACTGGACATGTCCGCACGCGCTGGCAAACATGAACTAATTCTTAAAAAAATGTTAGCACAGACTCATACTTGTCATCAGAGCCAGCCATATGAGAGATGCAGCTTCTTCAGCATGCAGAACAATGGCTCATGTTCGCTGCTTCTTCAGAAATGAGATCCAAAAAAAGAGAGCTCATCCCAAAACATATATAACTGCTTCGGATGGACATCCACCCACAGAATCAAAGCTGCTAATTGAGCCTCTTACTTACTCAGCTCCCCTCACATCTCTTCACCCCCCTCCAGCACCTACTCTCGCCATCTCCAGCGAAGAAGGGCGCCTCACGCCCCACTAGGCGACCATCTCCGCCCACGCAGCGCGGCCCTTGCGGCACGGTGTCCGGGTAGCCGTTGCAGAGGGGATACCTGGCGCGCACGCCAAAGCGAAACAAGCTGCAGTGAAAAAGCGCGGTGATCTGAGAGGTGATCTGCAGTGTTTTCCTTACCCATTACGCGGCTCTTATGACCAGAACCTCACTACAAGCAATTTTGATTATGACCGCATGGCTCATCTGGGTTCTTTGGTCGATGTGCATCCAACCCTTCTCAGCTTCTCGCGAGAAGGCTAAATCCCAAAAGGAAGGCGAGAGCCAAGCTGGTGAGCTGCTTGGTTTCCCACAATGCAAGTTTTGCCGAACTCGTCCTGACATGGATGGCTTGTGTTTTGATACCCAGACACTCCATGTATGCCATATATGCTTACATTGACCCCCAAGACCACCTATATATGCCTACATTGGGGTGGTTTGGGGGGTTAATGTAAGCATATATGGCATACATGGAGTGTCTGGGATATGCTTCGACCCTCAAAGCCCCACATTCACTTGATGGAAGCCGCTCGCAAAGCCAGGACCTGGAAGCCGCGCGTGACGAGTCGGACGAGTCGTGGTTTTCGAGCCCAACTCGGCGAGGTACTGCCCGTAGGCGGGTGAAACTAGGAGGCTGTAGCGGGAGATCAAGGTGTAGTTGTGATCCACCGCCATCCTCAGAAGCGACACGGTGGGCGAGGAAGAACGCGCGTGCGTCGCGCGGGTGTGCGACCGAAGGCGGTTCGTCCTCGGAGGCGTCCGAGGGCGTTGGTAGTGCTACATGGAGCCAGCTCACTCACACCCTCCACTGAACAACCTCCGCGGATCGTCGTGCGTCCCGAGGCGTCAAATCCAACATCAGCAATTGTCGACTTGTTCTGCCGAGGCGGACGCCTTGGCTTCGGGGGAGAAAGCCATGAGAAAGCCCTGATTCTTCCCAACAGCTTCCTGGCACTGCGACAGTGACTTCCGTGTTGGCCATTTGCTCCAGTCGCCCTGGCACACTCGGCACACGAGCCATGGAACCTCCGGATGTTTTGCCAAGCATCTTGTGGAACCGCAAGCGGTCCATACAGATGAAGAGAGCTTCTCCCTCCAGATCCGCCACATTTTGGTCCTCGATGTTGTAGTCCACCGCCTCAGCATGGAAAAGGTCCACAATCCTGTCTTCCGCGAAGGAAGCATCTGGATGAAGAGAGGCACTCAGAGGCACTTGGACGGCCGGCGGGAAACTGCTGCACAAAGGCCTAGGGGCCTTGGAGGGAAGACTTTGTCTTGAAGCGCGCAAAACGACTCCTAGCGTGCTCAGCCACATACGCCACAGACTGCGGTGGCTTTCAAAACAGCGCAATCCCAAAGTCATCATGATTAAAGCAACCTCACAACTGGATCCAGGTGATGACAGTGTGTTCCGCGACCTCCTTCCTCCCCCGTCTCACCCCACCATTTTTCGCCTCTGGACCAGCAACGCCCAGCCTTCGAGGACACCCGATCTCCCCTTCAGCCAGGCATCCGACAGGTTGGGATGAAACACATAGGCATCCAAGGCCACAGGATCAGGATCCAAAGGCTCGCAGGGAGGCGCTAGATCGCAGCTGGAGGGCGTTTCTAGAAGCTCTTCGGGCACACGAGTGCTCACAGCGCCGAACCTGAGGGCTCACTCTGCTCACTTGGAAGAGGTTTGTGGCCGTTTTCCCCTAAGATAGACCGCCTTGTTGGGTTCCAAAATGTTCTACGTAATTATACGAGTGTTAATATGAGTGCTCATTGACTCATTGCATTCTTCTTGCACCCCTCCGTGCCCGAGGCTTCTGCTTTCAATCCAGAACATGTAGAAAACGGTTTCTAAAGGCCATTCAGCCCTGTCTTCAGCGGTAGGGCGAGAAGTCGAATGTGTTGCCGACATTCCTCACTCCCTAGAAGTCCAAAGACTATATTTTGACCGGTTGAAGTAAAGGAAGTTCCCTTTCAGGTCCCCTGAAGACCATTCTTTTTATAGTCTTTGACTCCCTGGGTCACTGGTATCATAATGGCATCAAGTTCAAGAGAACGATGCACCGATTCTTGGAACATCGTCTCCGGCGGTCTGTGCTGTGGATGGGCCACATCTACAGAAGCACCTGAAACCGTCCCTCAAACGACGGGTTGCAGCACCCCTTTCAGCCGGAATCGGGTGCCATCGGGTGTTTGATCAAATCCTTGACCGCGCCACCGTGAAGGACCTATAGTCCAGACTGCAGTCTTGCATGCTAGACATGTGTCGACCAGAGAAGCTCGGAGCCAACGAACCTTGCTTCGAATCGGCGCATCCATGCCGCCACGCAGCTGATAGCTGCTGTTGAACCATTTCACTTCGCCTGGCCGCCACGCGAAGTGCGCCCCTCGCGTTCCGCGTCGCATTGTCCAACGTCCAACGCCGCGACGCTTGCGGCAGAGGAGTGGGATTCCAACCCGTAAAAATGTGGATGGACATGAAGTTCCTGTCATTTCAAACCCAGACACTCCATGTATGCCATATATGCCTACATTGACCCCTCAAACCACCCCAATGTAAGCATATATGGCAGTCCCATGGAGTGTCTGGGAAAGAGTATTCACTGAATTTGCCTGGTACGCCTGTCATCTCCAGTCAATGGAGCCAGCTGCACATGTTTGGGCCCGTGATAGTGTGAACCAACGTCCTTGTTCGCCATCCTCCACAGTTGAGGGAGACTGGCTACCCATACTAGCTTACTAGTGCCTTGGATACTATTACTATGTATGATGCTATTCACAAACAAAGCATTGCAAATTGCGAAGCAACTTGCGAATCATTGCGTCAACATGCGTCACCCTGTGTCACCCCAATCTCACCCTCACCTGTGACATTGGAGCTCACGCTCATGTTCAACTCCACGGGCACATCTCCCGCCGCACACAGCACCGTCGCGCCCGGCGCGCCGGACTCGCCCCTTCGTCGCCAAAGGGAACAGGGACGCTTGGAGATCACGCTTTCGCCTCGTGGCGTTGTGCGGCTCTAGGAGGTCGGGGAGCGCAGCGAAAGACCCGCCCGCGGGTGCTAGCATTGGCGCAACAGGCGAACGCAGGACATCTTGGTGAAAATGACCCGTGAGGGTTTGTGAGGATGTTGGAGCAAAAAGAGCCCAAGTCTGTCGGACGCCAGCTGGCAACACTTGACGCCGCCCCCTTTTGCGCAAGCGGGGGAAACCAGTAAAGTGGCATGAACCCAAATTGGCCGCATTTCAGGGACTGAATGTATCTGAATGTGATCCTGGTGAAGGGGACCTGTTTGAATCATGGAAGACACCGGTTGCACCAAGCGGCCCAGGTAGGTGCTCTGCATGGGGTCCGAAACCCACGCGAAGAGATCCTGGAAGACCGCCTCATGGCATGTCTTGGTCGCATGGCCCAAAGACGTTCGATGGATGTCCCAAACGTGGAGAGGTCAGTAGAGCGGTGCAGTCGAGTGCAGTCGGAAATAAAGACCAAACTACAGCCTCGGAAATAGAGACCCCTACTATAGCCTCCAACCTACTAGCGATGGCCTCCAACTCATGACTGATGAGTGCGACTCGTAGGGAACGAGGGTACAGTGGATTGGCTGGATCCCCAAAAATCGCCAGTGGGAGGGTCATTCTCTCTCCCTTCCCTACGGAACACGCCAGTCCGATGAAGGTCCAATCATTCTTCCCACGTCGTCATCATGTGGGATTCTTGTGTCGCCCTAGGGATCCGCACCCTCAAAAAGAAGGCTTTGGAGGGTGCAAACCCTTGTTATTTATCGGGTTCGACCTTCTTTACGGAGGGTCCAAGGATTCTTTGTGCCGGTCCATTTCCGGCCTGCGACCGTCCTGTCGAAGAACAGAACCAGCGTAGCCCGAGGGGTGGGACGCGTAGGTCCGAGAGGTGATGGGGAGGTGCTGGGAGGTGGGGGGGGTGATGAGGTGATGAGGTGATGAGGTGAGGCCTCTCCAGCAGCCCAAGGAGGCCAGGAGGCCAGCGATCCTCTGTGTGGCGTGCGTTTGCGATCTCAGTGGCGCGCGGTTTTTCCGCGTAGACCATGTGTCACCCTTCTGCCCCTGCCGTGTCGCGTCCATTCCATCTTGTTCCCTGTAAGCCTTTGGGGAGCACCAGCAGCACGACCAAAACACACCAAAACACCGGTGTTGCTTGCCTTGTCGACACTTCCCTTCAAGGAAGCCCTCGCGGACGCACGCGAAACACGCTTGGATGCCCAGACGACGCCGACGCTCGCTGCCAGTGTCCGTCGTTGTCCGTCTGCAGACCGACTTTGCATCAGTTCCACCCAGTGCAGTTCCGCCCAGGTGCCTTTCCTCCAAACGGTCCAAAAGGCAAGTGCCGACAGAGGGGAATGGTCTTTGGACTGCCGCCCGTCAGATGGAAGGACTCATTCACGGTCATGACCTAGGATTTGGTCAGCGCAAGCGGTGCACCAACGCGCCGGAGTTCAGAACGATTCGTGTTAAGCGAGGCTTTACTTGGCCCTAGGGCTCCAGTCGTACCTCACTTCAGGTATTTGGACCTACCTTCTAAACCCCACCCCAGTCCCACCGAAACGAAACGAAGCTACGACTCACTCCGGCGGGCCAACCAGGCCAGCCACGACCCGAGCGGCGATTCCGGCGATTCAATGGAGTCCGACCGAAGCACCAAACCGCCGATTCAATGGACAAGACCGAAGCACCAGGTAGTGTTTATAATGGATTTTAGATGATTTTAAATGGATTTTAGATGATTTTAGACCAGCTCAAGCATCTTTCTTGGAAGGCTCCTTCAGGCTCTAGGGAAAGGATTTGTCCTGAACGTTCCATTCCCCAAGTCCATGCTGGCAACTTCACTCTTTCTCTCTCTCTCTCTCTCTATATATATATATACACACTTCTCCTCCACCTGCTGCGAACCAATAATGACCCATTCATCCAACTTACTTAGGTAGGGAACTACAGACGAACCTCCAGCAACATGGGTTTCTCTTACCTCATGTCCGAGTCGTGGTGTCGCATGTCCTGCCGTCGCACCACCCCGATCCTCTTCGCGCAAGAAGAAGTGCAAACCATCACCGCCCACCACCAGGACCACGGAGAGTGGTGACCATGGACACCCCTGATATTTTAACATCCAATAACCACCCCACCACCGTGGTCCTGGCATGGGCCGGTTCGCGCAAGTTCATGCCGACCCCGCCCTTTTTCGCCTCCCGCCCCGCGCGCCGGGCGGCCGCCGGACGGACGGCGGGCAGCGAACCGAGGCGCATATGTCATGTTGGTCTCCAGTTCCTCCATCCCCGCCTTCGGCTGCACCGTCTCCACCCGCATGATCCGCCTGAGAAGTGCTGTCCGCAGGTAGCGTTCAAAAGGTCAAATCAAGCGTCAGAAGGACTGGGGGAGTGCACAGAAATCCTAGGCCTCGGGCCTGACATGTATGGACCTCCATGCCGCCGAGCTTCGCAGAGTGAAATGAACCTTAGCCTACCAGGACCCTCCAAGGGGTGCCCAATGGAAGCCTGTAGGATCCTAGAGGTAGTGTGGGGTGGTCCATTGGACACCCCTTGGAGGGTCCTGGTATACTGTTCGTTCAACATCTCCTGCAAGGTTTGGACCCCATCTCAGTTTGTACCTTGTTGGCTTTCTTCCAACCGAGCGTCCTCGACGCATCCTGCGCCAACAGACCCCTCCCAGTGGAGTAGCCGCTAAGGTCTGTCACGATGAACTGGAAGGTGGCCTCGGCCGGATCCAAGGCTGGCTGGCCCAGCTGGCCCAGCTCGGCTCTTTCATACTTCGACCTTTCAGTCAAATCTCTCTCCAACTTTCTCCACCTCACGGATTGCTCACTCACACTCTGCTTGAGACGCTGCTAAATAGACCTAGGCGTTCTCTCCCTTGCCCCACACATCATCCGCCCATGTCCCAACGTCCAACCACCGCTCGACCGCTCCAAATGGCCACCAGTCGCTCCGGCACCTTCGGCCTCACCGCCTGCCCACGGGCGGGAGGACGAGGTCGGAGCTTCCAAAGGCGGAGGTCGGTGGTGTTTTGGGACTGGAGGACAGCCCCAGCGCCCCGGACACCTCTAAGAGGTCGATGTACCAACACCGGTCACCTGTTGGAAGGTCCTGGAATGGGAGGAGGTCCTGGATGACCTCTCAGGACATCCAAGGAGATGAAGCGGTGGTGGAACCCATGAACGAACGGCCTCGCGGGGGCCCCATGGAACCCACGTCATGGCCGTTTCACTCACATCCTTTGGTCCTGGCCAGGACGTGATGACACGTGCTTCCTTGAGCTCCTGAAGATCCTGAAGTAAGTCATCTACCCGCCTTGTCACCCCTCTTTCAAGAAGTTGAGGCACCAACTTCATACCCTGGGGATCCAGTCGTACCTTCTCAAGCTAGGTGATGTGTTCGGCACTGTCCATGTAGGTGCCAGGAGGGTCCAGTCGTACCGTCTGAGATTCGGTACGACTGGATCCCTAGGGGCAGGTCGTAGTGGTGCTTTCTTGGACCAACCGAAGGGATACCCAAAGAGTTCGCATGAGATCGCTCCAGTCGCACCGTGTCTCAACCAGACAGTGCCCCAGCTCCACACATGCACCTCTATTTGAGCATGACCATCGGCCCAGCTCACAGCTAGGCACCCACAAAAGTAAGCGAAGGCTCCCATGCTCATGGCTCGCACCGTCTCGAGCCGGCTGAGCTGCAGAGGGGGCCGAACGTCCTAGCCACAAAAGGAAAGGTCGAGTTGCTGGGTCACTGGTTGTCAAAGTGAGTTCCAAAAGTACCAATGGTCGGCTCCAGCTTCACCCCCTCTGCACGAAGAACATGAATGACTAAAACCAAGACCCCGGCCGTGTGCTCAACGTTCTTCCCTCCACAGACGCCCCAAAAAAAGAAATGCGACGGATTCAATCGTCATGATTCTTTCTTTCAATACAATGTATATCATGCAAAAATGGAAACGGGGCCCAGTTACTAGGGCCCCCGAAAAAAAGGCGAAGGCGGCTCACCGGGGTGTCGAATTCTAGCTCCAAGAGTCTTTTTCTTCGGGAGGTCCATGAAAACCACCCCCACCTCGACGGCCCTAACCGGGAGGGCCCGTCGCGACGGTTTCCAAGGTCCAACGCGCCCGCCGCGGACCGCGCGGTCCGGCGCCTCTGACCACTCGGCGGTGCCTATGGGAAGGTGGGACTGGGGTGGGTTCAGAGAATCCAGATACCGAACCTGAGGAGGTACGACTGGAGCCCAAACGGGCAAGGAAAAGCGCTCCGCTGGGAGAGCGAGCAGCTCTCCCCGATGCTTCGACGATCAGATCTGTTGGGCTCGAAATGTCCCAACACTCGGCTGGGACCGTACCTTGGAAGTGCCTGTCCACGCCTGTCAGACAGTGCAAAAGCAGGCTGGGTAGGTGGATGGTCATGGAGATCGTTTTGCTTGAGCAGACCTTGCCCTTGAAACAAGTAGATTCCACCTTCCATGACCTACACCAGGAGTTACAAAGAGGTAGTGCCTTGCCCCGAAGTGAGCAGATGTTCTGGGCATGGATACTGTTTTTTTTAGTCTTTGGAACTGCTGGCATTCTATATCAAGGTGAGCCAGTGGCGTTTTTGCCGCATCCACTATCCACTTTGCCGCCCCCTCTGGCACCCCTGGAAGAAACCAACACCTTTTCCACCCCTTCTTGGACACCGTCCCCGACTGGAACGCCCAAGAACCAGAGACTGGATGCTGTCAGTTGGAAGATGTTGGAAGTCAGACTGCGACGAAGTGATGGGATCTCAAGTGAGTCATGCAGGAACTTGGGTCTAAAAGGTCTAGACTGTCTTCCCTTCACGTCATGGACTCGGACTGTCTTCCCTTCGTCCCTTCGGACAAAGACACCGCAAAACCCAGTGGCAGCTTCCAACAGGTCACCAGCTGCGACTTGGAAGTCTACAACCGTCGCCTCCATTCCGGGAGACCGGGTGCGAGTGCCGGGTGCTGCTGCTGGTGGGGATCTTCTCACCTCAAAGGCTCTTCTCACCTCACCTGGAACTGGTCTCACTCTAAGCCCCCGGACGCTTCGCGAGCGCCTCCATCTTCTTCTCTTCGCTGCCTGGAACGCGTGGACGCGCCGCGGCCACGTCGGAGCGGCAACGCCCCCATGCTCCGAAGCGGCAACCCAAACCGGTGGTCCGTTGCGGGAGGGCAGTGGCCGCCGGAATGCCCCCAGAACTGACCCAAAGGGTTTTGCTTTTTGGTCAACTGTTCTATTCCTTGGGGGGGGCACCTACCAGCCACTCTACCACTACAATCCGAACCTGCACATCATCTTGGATGAGGAATTCCAAGGAATCACCCGAATCGGCATCTGCATGCTGGACGACATGTCACCGAACTGCCATCCATCTGAGCATCCGGGCTGCCCATGGACTGTTGCAACCTCACGCCAGTTGAAAGGCGACGAATCGAAGGGGATCGGAGTCCAACCCTTCTCCGACACAAGCCAGCCCAGGGCATCCAGTTACCACTATAGCTGGGTTGCCGAACGAAACCCTGGTTCCATAGTGGTAACTGGGATCTACTGGGAACAGGAAGCACCACTAGTGGTGTCAGTCATTTGGCAGATGGTGGTGATCACTTTCTCAGGTTCCTCTCCCTTGGACCATCGACAAACAGGAAGCACATGGCTGGGTTATGGCACCCAGCTGTGGGTCGAACTCGCTACATAGTGAACCAGGGCCCCAGGCCATAAAAGACCCATCCTATTGGTTGAAATTGCCATGGAAAACAGACCAGGACACCCTAAGCCTAAGGGGTGTCTATTGATAGTCCCGAAAAGAGGTTTTTCGGGGTGTCCACTCCAACCACCCCGACGGTGGGTCCTAGCAGAATTCTCTTTGAGGACCTGAGAAGGGAACTGCATGGGCCTCATGAAGTCGCCCCTAAAACATCACGATCGGGAGCCTGCCAAGTAGGTGTGCGATGAGCAGGGTGAAAAGCAGAAGGGTGTCCATCAGAACCTGCATGACAGCTATTTCCAGAGGCTCTTCGAGATTCGACATCTACACGCATCCAGTTTGGGCACTCTAATGCACTCTATATCCCATTACCAGTAAAGGCCTTTCACAAAAAATAGTGATTCCGAATTCCTCAACCTCGACTGCTACTGGTAAGGAGGGGGTTACACCTTACATCCAGCTTCAGAACCGTCAGCCGTCGATCCAGAGCAACCTGTGCTTTTTCTACTCAAAAACCAGCAATGGCGTCTCCACACTCCAACCCCCTCCTCTACAGCCAGCTGCCAGCCAGCAGACCGCCAGTCGTGTTCAACCACTGGGCTACCACACTCTCTCATGGCGCGCTCCTTCTCCTGTGGCTGCATCGCTCGTTTGGTCGTTGGCCGCGAGGGTGAGTGGCGCAAGCGACGCTGGAGCGTAGCTCCAAACGAACAGAACAGCCCGCCCAGGCGACCTTCCGTGAGTGGCACACATGGCCAGGCTGTCCAATCGAAACAGTCAACCAAATATATATATATACATGATGAAAATGTCTGAAGACCAAAAACCGCTGCGTCCCTTTTGCCGCTGCGTGCTCGAGCCTCAAAAGCGGACATTTGGTGATTTGGCCGCTGCTCGAGCCTCAAAAGTGGGCATTGGGTAATTTGGCCGCTGCTCAAGCCTCAAAAGTGGACATTTGGTGATTTGGCCGCTGCTTGGGCCTCAA